CCACGTTCAACTGTAACCCGGTCAAAGAAACTAGCCACGACTACGGAAATCCGTCGCATGAGAGTTGGTCGATCAGTTCCAAATCCCAAATTCGGCGACCCCTCCTTTACGAGATGACACGGCAAGATGCATGTTTCCTCGGAATTGTCGTCTGTCATAAGTTTTGCATTGATTTTCAAGAAATATTCCAGAACAATGCCCATGAACAGGATTGATATGTCATTCATTCTTGACCCAATAACAACGAGGCAATATCGAGGATGGAAATTAAAGAGGGCGGCTGGGTTGAAAGGCTCTTCACGTGTGTGCAACCGAGGGTATTTGCGAAACTCACTGCCATCCCAACCTAATCTGGCCTTAGAGATGATGGTACTTATTATCAAAAGTGACCTTGGCTTCGAAATCCAAGACGCATCCCATGCGTGGATTCTTTTTCTCGCCATGCCTGTCACAGGTTTTGCTTGGATTGTTTTAGTTGTTCTTCCTAGTGCATATTTGCTTTTTCCCATCTCACGTTGCCTGAAAAACGGTCTCTGGGCTCGGAGACCCATCGTGGAGTGTGACAGCGGTAGCCACATAAAATGTGAGCATGCACGGCACATCGGAATCAGGTCACTAAAAGCTTGGAACATGTTGACGAAGCCCTCCACATAGTAATATATTGTTGGGCATGACAGTATCCATCGGGAATAATAAAGCTTAGCGTATAGCAAGCTGTTCCAAAGAATTTCGTATTATATTACATTCGAATAGCACTCTACAATTGTTTACCCACACGATCCTTCTGTTGAAGTGATTTGTCATGTTGAAGGACCAGGCCGGGTCAAGGAGTATCTTAAAGACAGGCTAATATGCCGATCATCTGCCAGGAACGAAACCTGGAGTAAGCACTATTCTCCGACACAGTGGACAACATCAGCACAATAGCTCAACGGTGGCTGGCAAGGGACAGGGTCCGAGAACGCCATCAATGAGTATTTGTTCAAATTCTCAATCTGATGGGGTGGGTAGAGTATGTTCCGCGTTTGTAACCAAGAAGCATTGGAGGATCACCCATCCCACGTCCTCTGTAAACGTCTTTCGTAGCTTGCTCGCCCGGGAATGTATATATATATTATACCTTAGCAGGATCTGAAACGTAGTTTGTGGCGAATGTTTAGAGTATTGAGAATAGTTGGCCAATAGTATGAAACAAGACTTATTGCCGAACGACCCACTTTAAAAACAATCACGATTTCATGGGATCCCTCAGCCTTGTCCCGTGTGGCAGGGGTTGTGAGGGGATGCTCCACTCAAGCAGTGGGGGTGTCCACCGTTAGTTCATTGAGATGCCATGACGGCAAAAAATGCGGGATGCTCAGTTTGTTTGAAATAGCCGAGTTTATTTTGCAGCCATAATAAACCCCCTTTTCGATTCTACCAAAAATATTACTCCCAAATGAAAAGCACTGCCAATGGTATAAGAAAAAAGAAAAGAAATGGGTCTCGCCCATTACATTATTGGGCGGTGTCAAATGAGCGCAAGTATAGTATATGTGATCTTCAAGATCAAGTACTGCGTAAGCAAAAAGAAAAACAAGGAAATGATTATCAAAGTCTAAAATGTTAGCGACAGAAAGGAAGAGAACACGGAGGTGGACTCAAATCCGGCGAAAACCGACGGAACAACCAGTCACACTGGCAAGATGAGGGCTACTTGGCGTGGAAGTAGCTGTACTGCGGTCGAGAATTATAGACATCGACGAGAGGCAACGAGTCCGACTCATGAAAATCAGATTTTGGAGGCTGCGAGTTGCGCATTACAGACTCGTCATGAGATGAGCTATTACCGAATGTGCCTGATTTCTGGTGTTGCGTGTAGGAGAAGAAGCTGGGGAACAGTCTTCGAAGGAGTGATCGAATTGATGGGCATACATGCGCAGATGATGCC